AATTTATCAGTTGTTCTCGAGAAGAAGAGAAACCTTTCTCACAAACAAGTCATCTCTACCGTAACAGCACCAACACGAAACACTACAGCAAATAAAAGTCTCACCTACCATCTCATTCCTACTCCTACTCCCAGTTCGACTTCTACTTGCACTTGTAGTCCTTACAACATTCTCCCCGTTCAAAAGCCCCACAAAAACATCAACAAATTGCCACTAATCAACATAACAACACAAAACCGTGAAAAAGACCGAAATACATGAATCAATCGACATGGAGTATGTTTTTTTATTACATGTTCGCGCATCAGTGCAGTTGAAGGGGCATTTACCCCATAGCCACGAAAACCCACTACATTACTAGGGATAACGAACAACCACACCCTGAGATTTCGAGTGGCCAACAACCACATATAGTCCCGATAGGTCAGGTGTGTGTCAATCAAACAATAAATCGGATCACAAACAAAGTAATCGTACACCATTACTCATTGCTAAACAAACCAGTATCTATCGAGCCGAACAACTCCACATCACACTACAAAACATCTCAGCAAAACAAAACAACACTACAAAACACAACACACCATATCACAAAACATAGCGTCTTGTCATATCACAGCTCTGCCCATGCTCCTCCACGTCATCCATTCACATTTACATCCACACACATACACACACTCACACACACACACACACACACATCAAAAAAACACTCCCTAACATTCAAACTAATACACGTACAATTTCTCACCAATCAACATCACATCAAATTCAATAACGACCACAAAAACAACTAGATTTGAGAAATATCACCTACAAAAACAATGATCACTTTTGTCCGGAGACGATTGCCAAGTAAAACACGAAAACATAGCACGCACGCAAATGCACGCCACACACGTGTTCCCGTGTCACAATCGCACCAGTCGAGCCACAAACGACTCAACATATCCATCTCGCACCGAGCCCTTCTCGCACGTGCAACTCACGATTCGCACATCCGATTACACAATGGTGCTCGCTCATTCGAACAACATACAACGCAAACAACCACATACACTCACTCGCCCACCAACACACATCCACATACAAAATAATAATGAAAAATAAAAAAAAACTAAACATACAAATAAATATGCAAAGCGAACAACAATGCACAAAGTAAAAGACAGACAACAAAGAATGAGAACTAGACAGACAGACGAACAGACAAACAAACAAACCTGAGGACCGACTGAGACACACACATCGAAAACACACCCTAAAATTCAAACTAATACACGTACAATTTCTCACCAATCAACATCACATCAAATTCAAAAACGACCACAAAAACAACTAGATTTGAGAAATATCACCTACAAAAACAATGATCACTTTTGTCCGGAGACGATTGCCAAATAAAACACGAAAACATAGCACGCACGCAAATGCACGCCACACACGTGTTCCCGTGTCACAATCGCACCAGTCGAGCCACAAACGACTCAACATATTCATCTCGCACCGAGCCCTTCTCGCACGTGCAATTCACGATTCGCACATCCGATTACACAATGGTGCTCGCTTATTCGAACAACATACAACGCAAACAACCACATACACTCACTCGCCCACCAACACACATTCACATACAAAATAATAATGAAAAATTAAAAAAAACTAAACATACAAATAAATATGCAAAGCGAACAACAATGCACAAAGTAAAAGACAGACAACAAAGAATGAGAACTAGACAGACAGACGAACAGACAAACAAATAAACAAACAAACATGAGGATCGACAGACACACACACACACAGAGAGAGACAGACAAAACACAAACAAATACACAGACAGTCTCAAACACTGGAACAAAATGGACAATTTCACTGACAATTCAAAACAAAAACTATACAAGTGATGTGAGAATCACGAACAACTTCATTCATCAAGCGAACAAAGTCATCTGTTCGCTCGCCCCCTTCATATGGCATCCTTCTGGAGCTCAGAAACGAATTAGACGCCACGAGCACTTCAGAATGCTAGCACAACATACACCATCAACACACATTCACAACCACGCTCACATTCTTAACCTAATTTATCAGTTGTTATCGAGAAGAAGAGAAACCTTTCTCACAAACACCTCATCTCTACCGTAACAGCACCAACACGAAACACTACAGCAAATAAAAGTCTCACCTACCATCTCATTCCTACTCCTACTCCCAGTTCGACTTCTACTTGCACTTGTAGTCCTTACAACATTCTCCCCGTTCAAAAGCCCCACAAAAACATCAACAAATTGCCACTAATCAACATAACAACACAAAACCGTGAAAAAGACCGAAATACATGAATCAATCGACATGGAGTATGTTTTTTTATTACATGTTCGCGCATCAATGCAGTGGAAGGGGCATTTACCCCATAGCCACGAAAACCCACTACATTACTAGGGATAACGAACAACCACACCCTGAGATTTCGAGTGGCCAACAACCACATATAGTCCCGATAGGTCAAGTGTGTGTCAATCAAACAATAAATCGGATCACAAACAAAGTAATCGTACACCATCACTCATTGCCAAACAAACCAGTATCTATCGAGCCGAACAACTCCACATCACACTACAAAACATCTCAGCAAAACAAAACAACACTACAAAACACAACACACCATATCACAAAACATAGCGTCTTATCATATCACAGCTCTGCCCATGCTCCTCCACGTCATCCATTCACATTTACATCCACATCACATCCACACACACACACACACACTCACACACACACACACACACACACACACACACACACACACACACATCAAAAACACTCCCTAACATTCAAACTAATACACGTACAATTTCTCACCAATCAACATCACATCAAATTCAATAAAGACCACAAAAACAACTAGATTTGAGAAATATCACCTACAAAAACAATGATCACTTTTGTCCGGAAACGATTGCCAAATAAAACACGAAAACATAGCACGCACGCAAATGCACGCCACACACGTGTTCCCGTGTCACAATCGCACCAGTCGAGCCACAAACGACTCAACATATTCATCTCGCACCGAGCCCTTCTCGCACGTGCAATTCACGATTCGCACATCCGATTACACAATGGTGCTCGCTCATTCGAACAACATACAACGCAAACAACCACATACACTCACTCGCCCACCAACACACATTCACATACAAAATAATAATGAAAAATTAAAAAAAACTAAACATACAAATAAATATGCAAAGCGAACAACAATGCACAAAGTGAAAGACAGATAACAAAGAATGAGAACGAGAGAGACAGACGAACAGACAAACAAATGAACAAACAAACAAACCTGAGGACCGACCGAGACGCCCACATCGAGTACACACCCTAAAATTCAAACTAATACACGTACAATTTATCACCAATCAACATCACATCAAATTCAATAACGACCACAAAAACAACTAGATTTGAGAAATATCACCTACAAAATCAATGATCACTTTTGTCCGGAAAAGATTGCCAAATAAAACACGAAAACATAGCACGCACGCAAATGCACGCCACACACGTGTTCCCGTGTCACAGTCGCACCAGTCGAGCCTTGTGTGGTTTTCGCTTTCAGTTTGCGGGATCTATTTATCTGTTATAATAGTGTATAGTGTCTTAGTTATTGGGGAATACTCCTTTCACTGCTCTCACGGGCAACTAATTATACTTCTTTTCGTGGTTTGGATCGAACTGGTCTGCATCCAAAGACTTCACTGGATCGGGTACGTTGTCCTCCTTTGGCTAGAGGCAAACACCGACAATCACCGTACCAGAAACTGTTTGCAGTATGAACGGTCCTTGGACGATACACGAAAGTCCCCCAGAAATTGCTACATTACGTTCTTGCTGGAAATCCTGATAAAAAAGAAATCGAGGCCACTGATCACGCAGCTGCCATACACCCTAGGCTTTTCTAATCTACACTTAGACGGATCTCGAGAGTCCCATTTGAGAAACTTAACGCTGGTTTCATGACGATTATGCCATAAGCCAATCAATTCTACACGACTCAGTTGGTATGATATTCGGCATTTTGTTTTGGAAACAAAGGTCCTCCTTAGGAGTGACAGGCACACACACATACAGAACGATATCTGTAGTTTCATTATTCGGATATGGATTACGGCGTCTGCGTGAACCAGTAGTCTTAACGTTCATCGTGAATGTTTCGCAGTTAACAATCACATTTTCCAGTTGACATCTTGATCCCATCTTCAAACACTGGTCATGCACCGATGCGTCATTATAAACTCGTCTCTCGGAATACGCCGCATACCACCTCTGGATTAGAATCAGTTCAATCATATTGTTATTCCTCTCTTTGAGAGGGCGTAGCTTAGAGAAGGTGAGTTCTGCGGTCTTATGATTTCACGGTCGTGTTGAACGAAGCATAGCAAATGCAAGCAACGTTTGAATCCTCGGTATTTTAAACCACACCGGCGAAACGGGACTTCGAGGCATTCTATTGCTGATAATAGTCTGCATCACAGAATCCTAAAAATTGTGGGCATGGCTGCATCACTTCACACAGGTATGCTCTTCGCGCCCAATACCTGGGATACGGGAGGAATTGAGAATGGATGTAATTTTGTGGATTATTCGACGAATAACAGAATGAAGACAACACGCATCTCGTAATAGAAATGCTGTATGAGACTGTATACGACAAGAAACTAGGTACAATGTATTAACGCTCCGGTCGGTTGTTCAGTGGCTGTAGAAATCATCAACCGAGCTTGTGGTTGGCATGAGAGGAGGAGCGGAAACCGGGTTGGAGGAGAATCGGGACAGTTTAGACCGCGGGTAGATTAATCAGCGTGTGTTGGCCGTCTGGTAGATACGTCACATTACGATTCCGCGCCAGCTGGTAAGCGATATCCTCGGCAGCTTCGATGCGGCGTAGTTCGATCAAACCCTCGCCGGATGCCCCAAACGCCTTTGCCAACAAAACCGCCGCCTCCGAGTCGCCTTCAGCGGTAATAACAGCGGCAAGTTTCTGTTGCTCAGCCTGTGGATGTGTAAGAAGGATGGGAGGGGGGAATCCACGGTGAGGAATTTTGAACATTGGAATACACTGGGAAATTTTGGGAGATAAAACTACTCCTGTCTTCTGAATTGAGCAGGATACTGGGCCCTGGAACACCCCAGGAGCATATCATTTCAGTTTCAAGAATCATCAGACGAATGGGACTTCAGGGAAACTTTTAATTAACGAACGTTACCGGTTCTTCAGCACACGAACGATAGAATGCCACCATGCGTAGTTCTCCGTCATGCACCATTGCCACAAACTGTTTACCCTACCTCAGGCTTGTCATCTGCGTAGTCAGTTGACCATCACGCGTCTTTTTCAATCATGACACGAGAATGCTGAACAGTTCACTCTGCAACTGAGGGTTTCCCGCAAAAACGGTTTCACCAAGTGAATAGATGATCTGAAGATGAAGAAAACAACAGGCGCACTACCCCGTTGTTAAATATCCAACCGCTTAGTCACATTCTTGAGAGATTTTGTAAGCATTGACAGCTGAAAGCCCTCACTCAGCGAATAGCTTCCACACAGGGTTTAAATGTAACAAACACACAGTAGAATTGATAGAACTGGAGCGACGTTCTGTGTTTACACCGTTCACATACCCTCGTTTTTGACACGCTTCGTCCGTTAATTTCTTTGTGCCTATTGATAGTGTTTACTACGGGATAGTGATCGATGTTTTTCAAAGAGAAATAAGGTTTATAAATTGGAGTTCTTGGTAGATAAAATGACACACAAATTTATTGAGGAGCTTATAAGTCAGCCTTTCAACGCGACTATTTGACAGTAAGTTTTGGCTAAACTGAAGCCCCGTGGCCAGATGCACACGAATACATCCTGATTCGTTCCACATGAATTGGATATGATTATTACATACATACGTACATACGAAGAGGACTCATCAAAATCCACCGAAAATTCTCTACGCAGACAAAATCACCCATTATAACATGAAATGAGAACCGAAAAGGATGATTGATAAGACTATTAGTCAATCTGTCCGACAAAAGTCACCCTATAGCCGATTTGTATCAGGCAAGATTCTACCCATCAAGCGAGGTCTAATCTGTATGTACCGCAGTAAAACTCAAATGACAGTTCGCAATCACTCATGTAGTTAAGTTGACTTCGTCGGAGATGTTCCGTCAATTCATACGCCCACGTGGTAGTATTACAATAGTTGACCGAACGACATTTTTCCAAATACATTAGGGCACCATGTAGGATGACACCGACACAGAAGAGCGGCGTACCTATCAGTGTTATAACCGCTGATTCATCAAAATTGTGATCCACAACTGGAGCGGAGAGTCCGTATCGTATGATGTATGCAATGTTATATAGTGCATCGAATACTGGTGTGCGCTGTCGCATTTTAAAGAGAACGGATCGATGACGTTGCTCAGCAGTGTTGTTGACCTAGGCCACTGCTTGGAACACGCAGATGTTCATCACATTCACTTCGCAATCGATGGAGTGATAGACTGAATGGCTGATCTACAGACTGTATCTATCCACCTCCGTCTTATAGCAACACAGCTCGGAAACACGTTTGCTCACACTAAGCATTCCGATGTTGACAATGAGTCTTTTTGTTATTCTTCGAATACAATTATGTTTGCTGGGTTAACGATGTCCGAATTATTAATGCTGGCGAGAACTAGGGCATCGGTGATCCCTAGGCAGGTTAAACTGTCATATTATCACTAAGCTCGTCTTTTTCCTGCTAATATATGCTTGCGCACGAGTGGAGTAGAGTGGGATAACCCGCAGCCTTCAAGGCCTAGTGCACTGCTAGAGATAACCAATCATCTGAGCCTGAGACTTGGGATAGAGAACCGCCTGGGGTCCAGTAGGCCAGGTCGCGTGGATCACTCTCCCTGGTTGAAGAGGATATTAAGTTACCGAAACACACTTACCGATCTTTGCACGCACGAATGTTTAGTTTTCATATTGAGGGAAATCACTGTTCAGAAAATTAAGGTCAGCAGTCGCACACAGAAAGTTACAGCATGAACGCCCAGTTCTGGTTTCGACGTCCGATCTCAGTGGTTGGTAGTTATATGATAGACGCGCGGTCAAGCGGTTCGAAAATAGCTGATCAGATAATTTTATCCGTCAACTGTTGTTCACTTTCGACAACTAACCCACGGATCGAAAACGTCGCGGATTTTTTTCCGTCATGTGGACCATTAGAACATACAAAACCTAAATTTATGACAAATCAATTTGCGGTCGCCGCGGACAAAGTTATTGACAGGCAGAGAATAAATGAAAAATTTAGCGAAAAACTGTTCATTTAACCGGCACCATGAAGAAGGTGAACCACCTTTCGAGAAGGTTAAAAAACGCAAATTTTTGATCTGATAAAAAACTTTTTGTATACGTACTGCACGATTAAATCCACATACACCATGAGCCTATGAAAGAATGTGAGAGGGCAGCAACTAACCTTCTCTACTAGATAGCGGGCACGCTCGGCTTCCTGTTGCGCCACCTGTTTAGCCTCGACCGCCTCGGAGAACTCACGTCCAAATGAGATTTGGGTCTAAAACGAGGGACCGAATTCAGTTTTGTTCGCTTGAGCACGCTGGAGGAAGTGTAATTTTGATAGTTTTTAACCTATTATTTGCATCCTAGACATTGATAACTCAACCAGGGTGAAAAGCATCATGATATTGGTAAGAAGAAAAAACACATTAGATGAAAATCACTACTTATCCTGACCGGCGGCGGTCAAACGGTCATCACTGTGGAATCTGGACCGTGACGTCTCGGGTTCGATCGTGCCACTGCCGCTCATTTCTCACTTTTACTTTTATGCGGTTATCTCCACAGAGAATGGGCCGGCTTCATGGATGTCGCGCATTGCGTCTGCCCATGAACGGTGGTCAGAGGTGAGACCGGAACACAAGCAGATCACGTTTTGATTCCAGAGACCAGCACCATTAACAGGCCGGAGCCTCAGGCATCCTCGACCTCCCAGCTTTCCGATGTCCTCGACGCATAGGGGCCACGTTTCACAACCGTACGTCAGTATGGGTCGGGTGGCGGCTCGGAAGAAGCAAATTTTGGTTCGGAGACTGACCTCGTTTCGCGCGCAAAGTGACTTAAGTGGCTGAAAAAACGCTCTTCTTGGCTTGGCCGTTTGGAAGGATCGTGGAGCCCAAGTATTTGAGTGCCTGCATACGCCCCATTAGCTTGCTGTTGACGTATATTGGTTGACCGGGCTGTACAGCGCAAGTCGAAAGCATCTCAGTCTTCCACGTATTGACTTCAAGTCTCATGGTTTTCATGAAGTAAACAACACGATTTAGAATTGGCTGAAGGGTAGTCGGACTGTCCCGTAGGATAACAACACAGTTTGCGAATTCCAAATCAGCGAAGACAGCGTCTGGGCTGAGCTGTACATAAGGGTAAACATTGAGCGCCTGCCGCATTATCCAGTCGATAGCGCAGTTGAGTAGGTCTGGCGACAACGGGCAATTCTGTCGGAATCCGGAGTTGACGGAGAATTCGCCGGATTCTTTTTCATAAAATCGTATTCTTGCACGCATAGTTGAGTAGTACGATTTTATGAGACTGGCAAATTTTACCGCTATGCTGTCTGCTTGCAGAACAGTTCATACCGCGTGACTGTCAACTGAGACAAATGACGTGCGAAGATCAACGAAACAGCCTGATGTCGGTTGTTGAAATTTGTAGCAATGTTCTACAGGTTTTCCTTTCGTTTAGGAGCCTATGGCGATCGTTTAAGATCCGACGGCGACCATCAAGAGCCTTCGGTGATCGTTTAAGAGCCTTTGACAAAGTTTAGAATACCATGGCTAACATTGTGGTCCGTTGCCTTTTCGCCCGTTGTGGCTCACATGTTGTAGTTGGTCTCATCTACGCAAAATCGTAAAATAGATGCTCTTGTAACCAAGTTGCGTACTGAGCTCGCTTCTCTTTGACATCAGTCCTGTTTTGCTCGATCGGATGAATGCATAGTCTCTGCGTGGTGTAACCAGGACCATTGATAAGACGGCCAATGGGAGATAAACTGGTCGATACATTCGTGAGTATCAGTGCCGTCTTTTCTCTGTCCCATTCAAAGTGAATGTAGGATTTTCCTCTACCAATGAGCAAAGATTCATTGGAGAATACACGTTTTGCGAATCCTCTTTCAAGGCTAGACTTTGTGTGCCGTTTGGCGATGGTTCTGTTGGTTTTCATGTTAATACCAAGATGGTAGGAAGGAAATATTAAATCGTCACCTTTTCTTACAGATTGGAAGATCTTTCTCTAGTCTTTATCACTGACTGGTTTCCCTTTGGGATGCGAATCTGTATTCGCCTGTTAGTACAGACCGATGAGCTCAACTTCCTCCATTAGGAATTCCGTGGATGTTGAAGCAATCGTTCAGCTGGTAACTTTGAAGTGATGGAGACCAAATCTACATCGTGCACACAGCCGTTCACGTGATGCGTATAAGGCTACCAAGTCTCAACTGGAGCCGAAGACTCGCACGTGATGTGACTTTGTGCGGTATGGGTATGTCGGCAAGGTTTGATTACCATAGACTGTGGTTGCTAAATTAACGAGTGACCCGATTGGAAGCGCCGAAAATCGCAACACGACTACGATGGCAAGGTCGTGTGACTGAGTAGGGAAAGCGCATTATCTGCGCAGCTGAAGGCTGTGTTGTTCATTCCTGTAGACACGTTGCGCACTCACAATCCAAGAAGCTGATGGTGAAAATGTGGCGGAAGTAGTGCAAATAACTGACCTTAACAAAACAAAGAAGCGGAGGACCACGAATGACGACGATAGGAAACGAATAGTACAATGTCCAATGAATGGTGAAAGCCTGTATCTCATAGCAAACCATCTAAGGATCAACATCAAGACACACCGACGCATTGCCGCGAGAGAACGTGAATTCGGTCGTAAATGAGGATTCGCAAAACGAAAATTTTCAGTCGAGTATATCGCACAGATCTGTTTCATCGTTAAAGAATCATCATCATCATCGTACAGCGTTAAACAGTAGGGCAAGCCCCACTGACTACTGCCTTTCTCACCATGTTGCACGTTGAATTAGAAAGTATGAATATACAAGATGGAGAGGGAGTGGACCTACATGGGTGGGAAAAGGAAAGAATGCCCTAGTAGCCAACACACGGAATACACAGTCTAACTGTACAAACGTACACCGATCAAACATTCTGATTCGATAGAAAGTGACAACACGATCTCCATTGTTCGCGGTTCGCAGCCATATCCTTCAGTGTCTCCAGCCAACTGGTAGACGGATCTTTTGGACCCCAACCACGAAGACGTGAACCACCTACTTTTCCTAAGTCTGCTGTACATTTTCTCATTCCTCGCTGCCACGTCATCTGTTGACCTCCATGTGGTCTCTTCCACTCCCTAGGAGGAACGGAGAATAGGACACGGTATGGTAGACGTGTGTTTGCCATACGTAACACGTGTCCCAACCAACGAAGTCTACTAAGTTGGATACGCTGTGACAGAACGTTCTCTGAATTAGTACCCAATACTCGCTTTCTTATCTCATCGTCGCTTACTCGGCTATTCCAATCTAGCGATACTACGTAAACATCGATGGTCGAAAACCTCAAGACGACGAATATCTTCAGCACGCAGACTCCAAGTTTTGCAACCATACAACAAAACTGAACGCACAGTGGCACAGTATACACGACCTTTCAACTTCAGTGAAATATCGGATCGGCGCCACAAGTGCTTCAGCCCAGCGTACGCCGCTCGTGCTTTGGATATCCGCGTACTCACCTCTACTACTGTGCTCCCATCCGTCGTCACGCAGCTACCGAGGTAGGTGAAGTGATCGACAACTGCCAGCACCTCCCCATCGAGCATCAAGCTCGGAATTGTTGACGTCCAGTCTTGTAACATCACTTTACACTTTGAAGGTGAAAAGCGCATGCCGAATGGAGCTACCGCTCTTGCGAGATTATCTAGTGCACGCTGAGCATGTTCCATGCATTCGAACAAGCAGACAACGTCGTCCGCGTAATCTAGGTCACATAGCTTTTCACTATCTCCTAGTTCGACGCCTACATCCTGAAGATTTTGCAGCGCACTCTCCATTATTTCGTCCATGACGAAGTTAAAAAGGAATGGAGACAAAGGGCATCCCTGCCGAACACCAATAGTCGTTTCGAACCGACCGAATAGTTCGCCGTAAACCCTTACGCGGCCAGAAGTATGAGAATACAATGATCTCATTAGGTTCACGAACTTCTGGGGCATACTTTTTCGATGAAGAGTACTGAAAAGCGATGTTCGATCAACTGAATCGAAGGCGCCTTTCAGGTCTAAGAAAAGCATTATTGTTGGTCGGCGGTGCGTGTGACGCGTTTCAAGTAGTCGGCGAAGAGTAAAAATCTGGTCGATGCATCCTCGACCTGGGCGGAATCCAGCCCGCTGTTCGCGGGCATTCCTCTCGCGAGCCGGTGTAAGACGATGCAGCAAAATCGAAGCTAATACTTTGGTGACTATCGGGATTAAGCTAATCCCACGATGATTACTGCAGTCATTGCGTATTCCCTTCTTGAAGATGGGAACAATCAATGACTCACTCCATATTAACGGAATACGCTCCTCCTTCCAAATGTCACGGAGCAAGGCGGTTAGTGATTTTATCAACGCCTCACTACCCAGTTTGAAAAGAACTGGGGGAAGTTCGTCGGGACCTGCCGCTTTCCCCCGCCTTAGTAATCGAATACATGACTCTACTTCTACTTCTGATGGGGGCTCAAGTGATACCACCCAAGAAGTCACAGTTGTTGACACGGGAGTAACTACACTAGCGTGCGGCCAGCTAAACTGTTCCTTGAAGTACTCGGCCCATCGGTCAAGCCTTTGCTGTTTGTTATGGATGGGTTCTCCATTCCTATTGCAAATCGTTTCACTGACCTGAGTTCGCCGTCCACCGGTGTCACGAATAAGTTTGAACAGTCTTTGACTGTTACCTGAAGCAGCTGCCACTTCCATTTCTTCGGCTACATTGACCCACCAATTTTCGCGATCCTTCTTAAGGCTTCGCGTAACTTGTCTTTGCAGCTTTCTCCGCATGTTATTCATCTCCTTACGGTTCGAAAGCTGACGCTTTTGCTCCATTATACTCAGCGACTCTTGCGAGATCCAGTGTCTCTGATGGACAACGGATCGAGGACCACAGGCGAATTCTGCTGCAACGTGCATCGCCTGTTTGATATGAGACCAATGCTCATCTACATTACTGGTCCTCGTGGATCCTAGCTCATGTGCTAACTTCTGCTCATAACGGGTGCAAACGTCTGGATCACACAAACGTTGCACGGCTAATCCAGTTTGCGGTTTGCGACGATGGCCATGGAGCTGGAGAGATAATCGCATTAAAACTAAGGCATGGTCCGACTCGATGTACGTGGACCAGTAAGATCTACAGTTCTGAACAGAACTGCGCCACCGGTAGCTTACGGCGATATGGTCAATTTGACTCAAAGTACCTGTAGAGTTAGAGCGCCATGTCGCTGTGCG